TATATATATATATTTGGTTTGTTGCCACTTCTCAATACAAGCCTCTTAATAATTGATTAAACAGATTATTCGTGAATTTATAGATATTGCAAAGCATTAAAAATAATTTACAAAACATTTAAGATCAAGTGCTGTACCTTTATTCATTTAGGTCATTTATTACTTATTGGACAATGGTAATTGTTTTATAAATTACTATTTTACAAACATATATAACCCATTAATAAAGCATTGGAAATTAGAATAAGTGGGAAGGCTTCACTTCCTGTCCTTATGGTTTAACATACGTCACAGCAAAGTCTGACAACTAAAGAATGCTACAACCTTTTTTTTTTAAATAAAAATGTATAAATGACAGTGGTAGATATGTTCTGAAGCATGACCATATATGGGCAATCCACTTCCTGCTTCAGACTGCTGGCAGTACTTTAGCTGGTTTGTGGCCGATGCTGTAATCCAATGTTTTTATACAAGATGTACAAAATCAGCAACTCTCAATCATATAACATAAACACAGATGATTTAACAGTCAGAATTTCTAGTGTGCTTTTACGGTTACATTTTTAATTTAATGGGAAAAATATGGTTGATCTAAAAATCCAAGAGAAATAAATTTACATTTTTGTACAAAACACACATTAAAGAAAACATAAAATGTTAAAAGTAAATGCTTAATGTAAAACAATATGTTTTGGTATTTAAATCATGTGTAGAGGTTAGATAATGTACAAGTTAGCCATTTATATCAAGAAAAATATATGGTCATCTCACACTGACCTGCTAAAACATCTAATGCATCTAAAAAAACAACAAACATATTTACAGTTTCGTTGTGATGGTAAAAGCTTAAACAACACAGTAATAAGGCAAGTTGTTCAGTCAGGATTACGTAAGTATCTGTAAACATTTAAGAAACAACAACGAAAACATTTGATTATGTTGGATGAATCAGTGAGAAATTAATTTTATTAATAAAGGGGCTGATTTAATTTAAACATGTTTTATTGGACAACATTTAAACTGCTTCCTCTCACCTTTTACTCTGCTTTAATTAAATAGGAGACAAACCTTTTATTTAATCTCATCTCAGTTCTGGATTAAATTATCTTCAGACTCTTCCTCACTTCTTCCCTCCCTCATCCCACTCGTCCTCACTGAYGTCCTTTTCGAACTGCATGGACGGAGGTCCTTCAGGGTCGCAGCACTGAGAGGCCGAGCGAAAAGTCATGGAGCCCGGAGAGACAGACGACAGCGTGTCCACGTCTCCGTCGGGTTCACAGCTGGGCGATGGAGATGCAGGACGTATGGAGGGGGACGGGAACGGCTAGAGGGAAAAAATAAAGAAGAAAAACTGAATTATCAAGGATCCTTCAGGTCCATGTGTACCCAACTGCAAAACCTGAAAGTTTCCAAACTTACCGGTACATCACAGCTGGGTGGCAGTTAGCATCTTGCTTGTTTTTTTTTTTTTTACTTTTAGCTAGCCTTTGCAACTCAAAGCTTTTTTGTTAGCATCTTGCTTCTTTTAACKTTAAGCTAGTTTTTTGCTCTCCTTAGCAACAGTTCTGCTTCTTTTAGCTTAGGCCGCTCAGGTATAGCATCTTAAAATAAAAAAAAGCTGAGTCGCCAAGCATCTACAATGGATTTTCACAGAAAATGCAGTTTTTCCTAGTAGTTTTTCTAGTTTAACCTCTAATAAGCTACAGGCAGACAGAACACAACAACATGAATGCTTGATTTGAGGAATACAAGACAGTTCTGTTATTTACATAATGTTTCTTGTTGTTACTCATGGAGAACATGTTAAAGCTATCTATCCTTTGATATTATCACAACCTGTARCTGTAGAGTAACGGGTAAAACATAAACTCAACTGTGTGCTGACTGGCAGCATCATAGTTTGCAGTGTTCACCTGTAACGTGATATTGGACTTGTTGGTCTTCTCTTTGACTTTGGCTAGAACTCCTTTGAGTCCAGACGATTTCTCGGTCATCTCAAGGGCYGCTCTGAGCAGTTTGGGAGTCTCCGACCTGAGAGGTGCTGCTGCTGCCGCCTGAGGAGATTCCTTAGCCTCTTCTTTGGCTTCGGGCTTCTTCCCTTTGTTAAGCATCTTCCTGCAGTGGAGAAAGTGACAAAAAYCAGTCCAACAATGTAGTGACTAAATAAAAAAGTCTGTACAGAAAAGCTTTGGATAAACAAAGCAGGATGTTTCAATAATTTCATTCTTGTTCAACCTRGCTTTCTTGCGGAGCAGTTTCTTCGACTCGGGGTAGTGGACCAGAATCTCATTCAGGTCTTTTTTGTCCAGGATGAACAGATTGGCAAAGCCGTGAGCGATCACATTGGCTGTGCGCCTGTTAACTCCACCGACTGCAAGCAAACTGCAAAAGAACAAATATTGTTAAGAGGTGTTTTTAACGAGCRAACTGCTTTTTGTGGTGACACACTCAGATTCAAGACGGCTCTTTACCTGATCTCTCCAAAGACCGATCCTGCTCTGAGAGTGGCGAACACCGTCCTGTCATCAGGTCCTCCGACCACCTGCACCTCCCCTGCTTTTATGATGTACATCTCCCGGCCCACCTCACCCTGAGCGAGACAAAAACCAGAGGCAGATGAGTAAAAGTAAACATAAATAATACCTTCATAACTTTCTCAGCCAACCTTTTTGCAGACATAATCACCGGGCAGGTAGACGACAGAACGAAGGCTTTTGAGCATGTCAAAAATCATCTGTCTGTCACAACCCTGTCAGGCAGAAACAAAGATTCTCAGGTTTTTCTTCAAACCTCAGGTTTATTTCAGCGCGGTGAGCTTACAGACTTGTTACCTGAAAAAGAGGGACTTTGCTCACAATGGAGTAGTTGACATCTACAGCAATGTCCAGACGCATTTTATCTGGCAGCTGAGTCAGCAGTTCCTGCTCATCTGGTTTGCAGATGGCACAAAGTAGGAAAGTTTAATAGTTTTTGATGCATAAGCACATCTTCGAGTACCAAGTTAAAGCGAGACAGTCTTCTTACCCAGCATGCCTTGAGACTGCCAGGTATAGTTGTACCAGGTTTTGACTCGGTTCTGGACATCTTTAGGGATGCGATAGGATGTCATGTATTTAATAGTGTTGTCCATACAGGTGCGGTAGTAGGTTTGAGCTGCTGTGGCTGCACCAACCACGTCACGCATCTAACAGGCAAAGAAGCAACAAAATTGCTTTATCAAATTAATTCCTTTGCTGCTTTAAAACAAACAAACAAAAAAACAGGTGCTAAATGTCTTTATTTACTTGTCCAATCATGATTGAGAAGGCAAAGACTCCAACAAAGTAGTTGATTAGCTGGAAGACGATCTCGAAGAGGGAGGTGGGGTCCGGCAGACCTCCGATTGTAATCAGAGTTTTAACCGCAAAGTAGTAACATCGAACGTAACTGAAGACAGGGGAAAAAACAGAGCAGGTGTGCGACAAAAACAATCATTTTTATTGTTACTTTTTTGAAAGTACATTTAATTTGTGTTACATCACTTTAAAAACGACCCAAAACTGGGAACGGCAATCACACCAACCTGTTGCCATCGCCGTTGTAGACCCACTGGGTAGCCCCCAGTCCGATGTAGGTCGAGGTCCAGTGGTAGAGGCAGGCGTTGCAGTGAAGACAGTAGAGAAGATATGCGGTGGTACGGATCACCCTGAAACACAAAACAGGATGTTTTAAGGTTGGCAGCAGAGATCAAAGGAAAAGGTTTACAAGAGAGAAATGGTTTGGAGACAGAGAGGTAGACAAAAAGAAGACAGAACTGGAAGCGTCAGAGCTGAAGATGCTGAGGCTCCTTGGGGATGAGGACAGAGAAGACTAGGAAATAACAAATCTGGGAGATAAAGTTAGAGAGGCCAGACTGAGATGTTTTGGACATGTTAGAAAGGACACAGAGATAGTTGGACAGAGGACAGAGTGAGGTGGAGGGGGTGGAGAAGAAAGATCTAAGACACCTAAAACAAAATGTTTAAAACTAGGATAGGAGCTAAAACTCTGTAGCTGACCTGTAAATGTAGGCTTTGGTCAAGATGGCCTCTAGACGCTCATTGAACTCAAAGAAAGAGTTGATCTGCAGATTTAAAAACATAAATAAAAACATTAGTTTGAAGTTTCAGAGCTAATCAGTGTTGGTCCTCAGAACGCTCTAAAAGATGAACGTCTCACCTTCAGCAGCCTCGGTAAACGAAGCAGAGGGTTGATGCCAGTAATGAAATAAAAGAGCTCCAAGGGAACCAGGCTGGCTACGTCAAACTGAAAAATAATCCCACCGTCAGTGCGTACAGAGGATTATAATCTTGACAAATTTATAAGAAGTTTAATCCATCTCTGTTCTGCTTACCTTGAAGCGTTTGGTTTTCATGTAATTCTTTCTCATCTCTTTTTTGTCACTCTAATAAAAAAGAAGATTCAGGTGTTTTATTTTATTTTTTYCYTATAAAAACTMATTTCTGTAGATTATATAGATTAARCTCACCACTATGTCACCTCCACAAATAAACTGCAGGCGCGGCTGGAAGACGGAGATGTCCAAGATGTAAATGAGATCGCAGAGGTAGTCGATCAGAAGCCAGTAGTAAATATTATCTGAGGTCTGGTACGGGAAGGCCCAGCGGACCGGGATCAACCACACGTTCCAGTTCCAGGCCAGAGACACCAAGAACATCCAGAGGACGTACATCAAGTCTGAGGAGAGAACGAAAGGATGAAGAAACTACTGAGACACTGACAGCAAGCCTCTGATGGGAATAAAAACACATTAAATCAGCAAAAATTGTGTTAAGTTTGGAGCTATGGTAACAGAAATCTGTTTATAGCATCAGTGACAGAAAAAAAAAACTACAAATCAAAGATGATTAGAAAGCATATGTGACCCATCAAATCAAAATGAGGATTAAGTTGAAAAGTGGGATGTGGAGAAATAGGCAATGTTTTGATTCAAATGTTTGCAAAAACTGCATTTTGTCAAAATGTAACAAATAAATGCCTTATCAAGGTATCATTTGAATGAGCTGTCTGAAATATAACCATTTAAAAAACTTTGAAGCACTTTTTTGAGGATCAGCAACAAAAAAACTGATTTTGAGGAAAAACGCCTTAAAATTTTGAGTTTCCCTGTGAGCTAGCAACGTGTTTCTTTCCATTTAAGAAATTTCAATATTCAAATACTTCTTGAGGTGCTCTCTTTATAAYGACATCAAAATTTCCTAATTAAAGTGACACAAAATAAGGATTCAGACCAAATTTTAATGTATCATCGTAACCAACAACACTAATTAAATCATATCTCTGGATCCATTCATGAAAATTTATCAAAATTTAGCTTTTAAAGCCAGGAATCTGAAAATTTGATTATAGGTCATTTTGACCAAATTTGACTTAATCCTCATTTCGATATGATGGGTCATATATACCAGGTAAAGCAGAGGAGTTATAATATAATAATTTTAGTCAAACCTGAGAATGCATCTAAAATAATTCCCTTGAGATCTAAAACTTGTCAGGTTTTGAGTGATTTAAAAACAGAAGTAAAGGCGGCGGCGACRGCGGCGGGCAGGTATTCAGGGTTCTCACTGGTGAAGGGGTCGATGCTGGCAGGGAAGCGGAGGCGCCTGCAGGCTCGTATCCAGCCAGGAGTTTTCACCTTGCAGCAGCTTCCAGACATCTTCTCCTCCTCGCTCTCTCCTCCTGATGCCGACACACCCTCCTCTTCCTCCACATCCGACGGCGCAGCTTCAGGAGCCGAATGAGGAGCTGGAGGCTGAGGATGAGCTGAGGACACACGAGGAAGGGAGGAGCAACTAATAAGGACACCAATATTCATAAAAGGTGTAAAATTATTCCAGCTTGCTTGTTTAACGCACAAGTGACGATGACGCTCTCTTCATCAGAGCTGTCTGGGTCGACGAGCTTCTCCTTGGCCTTCTCCGTCCTCTCTTTGAACATCCGGACCAGTTCCTGCAGCCGCTCGTTGACCACCGCGCTGGTCTGGCTGGCTGCGGAGGCCGGACGCTCTTTGTGGCTTGAAATTCAAAAGGAGAAACAAAATTAAGTCGGTGGTGATCTTTATAAGGTGTAATTTAATCTCTCCTGACATTTGCTTAGCGGCGTGTCTTGTGTGCAGCGCTCACACGTCATCGGAGCTGTACAGGCTGGACTGACTGGGCCAGGCTCTGACTGGGATGCTCAGATCTTCATCATCTTCTTCGCTTTGAGAATGTAGCTGCCTGCTGTTAAAGTAGAAGCAGTCATGTTAGAAGTGAAACTTTACACGTTACAAACTAAAACCCGTTTTCATGTGGCTTTGCTGCATATGATACCAAGAAACATTGACAAATCGAACAAAAAATTAACAACAATTAAAGTATAAGCATCGGTGTAACTGGATGAGAGGCTGGAGAGCTTACATCTTGGTCCAGACGTTCCTACGGTTCCTGCCGATGCTGCAGTAAAAAGGTCAGATTATGGTTTTAAATGTGTCAGAGGGGTTAAAAAACGAGGTTAATCCAAAATAAAAGGATAAATCAACCACAGGACTCCGACAGACAAGGAGACACAAAGATGTAAAGTTGAGGGGAATTTGTTTATTGGCCTTTGCTACATAATAAAAACAAGCGTACAAATCACAAAACCATGATAAAGCTAAAGAAGGTTCACGTTACAACAGAAAAAACGCAAAACAAAACACAGAATATCTCCTCTAACAAGGACTAACAAAAAAGAGTCTGTGTTCTGCATTAACCCAAACTGGTGATGACAGTTTTTGCACCTTTTAAAAACATGATAATTCACAAGCCGAAGATCAAATTTAAATGTCCATACATGGTTTCTGCAGGACACAAACATACAGACAYCGAAAAGACAAAACAGCAAGAAGATGGACAGCAGAGGGCAGTGCAGCATGTTTCAAATCACAGTGAAGCACTTTCACCCCAATATAAAAACATTCATAACTGGTTAAATCCAAAAATTAAATAAAACATTTTCTGGATTAAAATGCTTCATTTGCAGAAAATAATCCTACTTTTTATTTGTTATGAACTGTATTGTTGTAATTGCATACTTGTTTATGAAAATCTATGTAATTTTACTGAACAGCTGAATGAAAACACAATCCACTCAAACACTTTTCTTACTCTTTATCTCCTTTACTGAAAACGGAAAGCATGTGGAAAGAAAAAAGGTGTTTGTGACAGGAGACTAAAATGTTTCATTTCTGTTATTTGTTGTTGAAGTACGCGTTTCTCACCTCTGACGGCCTCCTGACGGGGTCACGGGGACTGTGAGGGTTGTAAGTTTTGGGTCCTGAGGGGTGAGTTTTTGGGAGGTGTCGCTCTTCTCCTCGCCTCCTCCTGCTCCCCCTTTCTCGTGATCGACATCTTCTACGTTTACGGCCGGGCGGAGGTTGACGCCGGAGCTCTCTGGAGAGTGGGACAAAGTGAATTTGYTCACGTTTATTACAGGGTAAGTGATGCAGAGCGTTGGTTAGCACTCAGGTGAGTTGCTTCTTATGTGAAGCGACACGAGGGTGGCAACAGGTCCCAAGCAGAAGCAGGACAGGAGATAGATTAAGCAGGAACTACGCCGAGTTAATGCAAGACRACCCATCTGAGAACTAGGTCGAGTACGAGGCTGTCCTGAGAGTTAAGACTAGATTACTCATCTGTCAACCTTTCAGTCTCACTTATCTGGAGTCATGACACACTGGCACATATACTGTATGTAATCAATACAAACGGCACTGACAGYTTATCTAAAGTCTTATCAAAGTTATGAAGAAAAACTAACTCCGTATTTTCCTGTTCGATTGTGATCACACACATCAACAAAACACAAATAAGRTTTACAAAAGTTTAAAAAATGCATCACAAGAAAACACAATTACATTCCCCAAGCTACAACCCCAATTGAAAAAAAACTCAAACGTTGTATAAAATGTGAAATAAAAACAAAATATGCAAATCTCTAAACCCATATTTTTAGTCACAACGAAAAATATTTTCCAAACTTAAATTCCYGTTCTTGTCCGATGTAGGATTCACTTTTTAAAATAGGTTTATATTTTTCTGCATTCATGTTGCCTTTCCAGTTGTCTAAGCCCATGCCATAGATACTAATGCACCCCTATACCATCAGAGAGGCAGCCTTTTGAACTGTGCGCTAAAACAGAAATTTTATATCAAGTCCTCTTACTGACCTGTTTCCAATAATACTAATTAGTTGCAAAATAATCCTTCAGCTGTTTTTTATTTGCATTTCTTACTTTTATAGTCCTTAACTGCCATAACTTTTTTTAGATATGCTGCTCCAATTCAAAACTACCTTTTTAAAAGATTTCTTATGCTGCGTTCACACCGAATGCGATTTCAGCTTCAAAATCGCAGCCAACTCTGAAGTTGG